CCGAGCCATCAGAGCGGCATGTACGGACTGCATCACGGCGTGCACCACTTCAACGCCTTCGACAACATCACCAGTTTGCCCAACCTGCTGCGCCAACACGGCGTCTACACCGGTATAATCATTGTATTGCTACGTAGCGCTTTGCACTTATACTTGTAATTGGTACCCAAAAAATGAAATATTAAATTTGAGTTAGAAGTGATCCAAATAAATGTACAACGACGATACAAGGGGATACGAGGCGGTCCATTCTTTAATACGAGTTGCAGGTATAATCGGGAAGAAGCACGTGGGCCCCGACGACGTGTTCCGCTTTGACTACGAGCAAACGGAGCGCAACAACCACATTGACCAGGTGGGGCGCAACATAACGCACATGAAGCTGCTCGCCCGGGAGTTCCTTGCTAACGCCAACCGCGACAATAAGTGAGAACACTTCCTTTACATTGCTACCTGCTTTTTACTGCCGCTCGGCAACAACTGCACCACGTTTTTCATTCAAGTTTTTGCTCTTGCGTCACTCAATCGTATCTATAAGGTTTTCATCTTGATTCTTGACTGCCATTTAAAGCTATTAAGCTATTTAAAGCCAATCTGAAGCTAATTGCTGGATTACGGTTTTAAGTATTACCAATTAGTCTTGATACCATAATAAATAAATTAATGCGCGTGTATCAGGTCATTTTTCCTGTACGTGGGTTTCCACGACCCGCACCGGTGCGGGCACAGCGAGCCGCAGTACGGCGCCTTCTGCGAGCGCTTCGGATCGGGGGAGCCCGGCATGGGCACCATCCCCGACTGGGCGCCCTGGTACTACCAGTGGGACGAGGTGCAGCTGCCCTACCACGTGCAGGTATCCTCGCCTCTCACACCTCTCACACCATAGACGTACTTCGGAACTAACAAGTGAACCTCGTGACAGGACACTGAAGCTGCGCGGAGGGACATCGCCGCCCAGTACACTACCATGTCGCGCTTGGATCAAGGTACAGTGTTACAAAGTACTATATAAAGAATTGTACTTATCTCATTTTGTATAGTAAAAGTAAAAAAAATATTTAATTTCAAATGGAAACCTTAAATTCCATACAAGACATATTATAAGAATGTCGTCGGCAGGCGTGGGGCTGATCCTAAAGGAGCTGGAGGCGGCGGGCCACAAGGACGAC